TTAATGATCTGGTATTAATGAGAAGTTTTACTAGCTCGACTCGGAAACAAATAGTAACATGAATTGTTACACACTGCTTGGCAGCACAGTTTATTTGAGTTTATGCTTTACAGAGGAATTCTTGGTTATTTATGGAAATGAAGTGGGGGTCCTGATAGTTCCCTTTGTCATTACTCTCTTGATGGTTTGGTTGTGTAGTGTAGTCTTTCCCCCTTCTCAGGTATCAGCTTTGCAGAGTGGGCACTGTTTCGTGTTCATTTTTACCTTCTGCTTTGATACTTTCTGCCTAGCCTTATGCCAAGGGCAGAAGATGCTAGGGACTAAAGGCATGGGCTTTGAATTAGGCAGACTACATTTGCATCTCTGTTGCTCATCGTATTGATTGGATCAAATAGTAAAAAGTTAGACACATGGGTCAGTCAGAACTCTCCCTATTTTTATAAATGGTCATGTTGGTGGAAAGCAGCCATACCTGTTTGTTCATGCACTGTGTTCAGTTACAGAGTAGTTTCCATAACTCTGTAGTTACTCAAAGCCTAAACTAGTAAATACTTAGCATTTAGAGCAAGTCTGATGCCTGTTGGATTGGATGATCTCAGCAAATTACTTAATGTCATGGACTTTAGTTGCTTCACCTATGATATTAAATATTAATTATTTAATAAGTTAATGTAAAGGAAATGAACTAAAGTATATGGACTTTTTGGCATGATATCTGTGTTAGAGGTATTAGACCTTTAATACTTGGCCTTCTTCTGGCCTTTGTTGTTGATGGTTAATTTAATGAGTCAGTGTCCTAAAGGATTCTGTCCTTTTTCCTCATTCAGTTCTTTCACCTGACAGATTTGCAGATGAATGAGTCAGGTAAAGTTACTGTGTTGGTGTAGTAGCTTCACATATTATATCAGCATTGTACAGATTTTTGAGAAAACTGATTTTCAGGTGGGGTTAACATTATTAAGCTTTAAGAGTTACCAGTTCTGTTCCCTGACAATAAAGTGCTGTTTGTAAAACTGACAGAAATGTTAAAAATTTCCATATCTGATTTTAACTTCTTTTAAACTTTGAACATAGGCACTTAGTAAAACTACTAGAGTACAAGTTGTATTCTTTTTTTGCCCCCAAGTCAACTAGTTTGTTTCTGTGAGGGAAAATGTGTGAGACAAATGATGTGCTTTGACATGTCTCTTACTCTTCCCTACTTACTTTTCAGAGTTGTATTAAACAGCCCATGGTGTTGTATAAATAACCCATGAATGTACTTGACCATGAATATTTTTGTTCTTTACCAAGAGTTCATTTCTCATGCAAGTCATGGCAGAAATGACTCCAGGTCAGATCATTGAAGTCTGTGCTGTCCTTCCCTTAGAAAGCCCCATGATGTGAATCTGGTCTTTTCAAGTTTTTAATCTTTTGGTAATTTTTAAGATTTTTTATTTTCCTCTGTTTCGCCATGTTTTCCTATTTATTTAACGAATTCTTACTTAGGGTGTACTCTGGATTGAGGACCATGGTCTCACAGCATTCGTTGATCTTACAGTTTAGTGAGGACAGCTTATAGAATTCAACAGCGTTGCAAGAATGATGAGGTGATAAAAGGACAGCGTCTGTGAAATGTGCCAGTGGGACTGTGCGCGGAGCAATGGCTGCACGAAAGGGCTAGAGGAACTTGGCTGAGGAAGTAACAGGCGTAGCAGTCGAGACTGTTTTCAGAATAACTACAAAGAATGGAGAACACTGTGTGTAGGGCAGAGGGAAGCTCTGGGAAGTCTCACCTTGGAGAGCCATGCACTGAGGATGGACAAGGCCAAGTCCTGATGTGTGCCCCTCTGTGCTACGGTCAGTGCTGACGAGCACTGAAAACCTACTCTGCAGGTTACAGTAGCTTACATTTTCTGAAGGATGCCAGAGGTGTCAGATGAGGTGGCAGCAGTGAGGACGGAGAAAGCAGGGTTGATTTGCAGTTGGGATTGGCAGAAGTTGATTGGATCTGGGGTGGAAGGAAAAATGTGTCTCCCGGCAGGAGCTAGAGTGGGTGATTTGTGCCCACTGATGGCGTATGGGGTGTGTGATAAGGATGAGAGTCTATTCTGCACATGTGTTTGAGACACACATGGTGCAGACACCTCTTGAGTTCAGTATGTGACCTTCAGAGACTGATTGGGGTCGTAATGGTTCAGATGCCCCGCAGGCCTGTGTGGAGAGAGATTTGATAAGATCATTAAAGAAATTCCAGCATTCAGTGTAGCAAATGAGAAAGCTATGACAGGAAGCTGAGGGTCAATTAGAGACAGAGAAGGACAATGAGATGGCTAAGGGTCATGGAAACCAAGGGGCATAGTGTACTCAGGAAAGACCAGTAGTGTTGAGTGCTGCTAAGGTATCTGGGTTACTTTTCTCTCACTGCTGAGACAAAATACCTGACACCCCAAATTAAGGAAGGAAAGGTTTATTTAGCTCACAGTCCATACTTGGCTGGCTCCAAGACAGAGTGACACATGGCAGAGAGCAACAGCTCATGGCAGCTGAACACAGCAAAAGCAGCCAGAGCAAAAGGGCAGAGCAGTGGCGGAGGGAAGAGCAAGCCTCTTTCCCTCCCTTACGTTGTATCCAGAGTGGGTGTAGCTCTCACACCCATAATCCCAGCACTGGACTGTGGATCAATCAAAAATCTAGAAGCCCGCCCCATGACTGCACGAGGATTTGAGGGGACATCCAGACACAAACCATAACAGGTTAGGTAACTAAAGGCTTGGAATTGTCCATTATATTTTTGTGATGGAGAGGTCACTGGTAATTATAGAAAGAATAAGTTTTATATATAGGTAGGGATCTTCCCAACTTTACTTAAAATATTAATCTACATTTTCTATTTTACTTGAATTTTTTGTTACTACAAGCTGCTTGAGAATGTGTCTTTTCCTAACTTTAATCCCATACTCTGAATCAGTTTCCATGCTCCTTTGCTGTGTGTAACTCTCCTGACTCCTCCCATGTATCAGTCCCTTTCTCGTCAGAGATACCGACAGTCACAATTGGAAGGAGAGGTTTATTTTGGCTCACACTTCTCGAGGGTTCTGTTGACTCCGAGGTAGAAATGGCGTGCAGAAAGAGCACAGTGGAAGAAAGTGCCTTACACGAGGACAGCCAGGAAGCAGAGAGTGGGGAGGAGCCAGGAACAAGAATGCGCTCTTCTAGGCCACACCTGCATGACCTGGCTCTGCCTGCTGTGCCGTCCTCACGGCACGTTCCTCTGTGGACTCATCAGTGGATGGGTGGGATACCTCCAGTCCATTCCAGACATGTGGAAGCATGAGGGTGCATTTTAGATCTGCGCCGTAGTGCCCCGTAGGCTGCTTCTCACTGCTCCTTCATTGATCAGACACTGGGTCTCTCACTGTCCTAGCTCCCTACAGTTCACCTCTGCTGTTTTTGCTGCCAAGACTGATATCTTCATATAAACAGCACAAGCCTTGACTTCAAGTTCTGTTTACATTTTGTTGTCTATTCTCCTGTGTGGAAAATGTGTCAAATTACTAGAAACACTTAAAATTGAGAACATGTTATAAAGTGAACTATTAAATTTTTCACTTTCGATATTTGAATTGTGAAATGTTGCTTTCTTGGTATGTGTCATCAGCCATTCACCTCAAAGGCCTCCAGAACAGGCTCTGTGGTGTGGGGAGGGAAAATCCTCTGTCAAATACCGTTTCCTTGAGCTGCGTTTATACTGGATTCAAATGAATATACACAAGGCACCTTTTGCCAGTTTCACTCTTTAATCATCACTCAGAGTTTCAAACAAATTTTCTGACACTTTCTAGACATAAAATCATTGAACATTTTTGGCTGTTTGCAGTTTTTGTTGTCTAAGAACTGTACTGATATGTGGTTCTTCCTAGTTTTTTATTGTTTTGCTTTGAAATAAGAAAAACTATGAAGTTTCACATCCAATATTTTTTGTTTTTATTCATTATTATTACATGTTTTCGGTACAAAACACCCAATTTTTTTTAGAGGAATTCCTCATGAATTTAGGCAAAACTGTCAATTAGAATGGTACCACACTCATGAGCTGAATTCCTTCCACAATTCTGGTCGCAGAATTCATTCCACTGTAGGTAAGGGTCATGACCTTGGAGTACATGTTAAAGAAATTTTATGTACTACATAATTTGGGGGGAAGAACCCCAAGTAACCCTTTTTTTAGAAGTATTAATGTAGAAAATGGGAGGAAAAGCTTAAAGTTCAAAATGACAGTTACTTAGGTATTTAATTAATACGTTTCTAGATCAACAGAAGGTAATACACTGCTGCCTGTCTCTCTTGTTCCTGGGTGATCTCCTAGGAGGGTAACGAGAGATAACTAATAGACTCTGCGTTTGTAGCAAGGAGTGTTGTGTCAGAGTGGGAAAAACATATACCAATGTAGAGTACATGAAAATGCTAATGGATGAGCTTACATGGAGTGAATGAAGGAAGCAGTTCATGCATCTTTGTTCTTGGATTCAATAACCTGGGCTGATCAGAGCAGTTTTTCTAGCACCATTTACCCAAATAATATTAGTGAGAAGAGTCTTCAGAGTAGCCTCTTAGTTTTCCTTATGTCATGAAGAAGTCTGCCCAAACTCCACTTATTTTTTTTCTTAGCCGCGGTGTATTCATGGGCAGATTCCCAGAGCACAGGGGTTACGGCGTGTGTATGTTCTGTGCTTCTGGTCTGCAGTTCAGGAGGCCGAGTTCTCTGTGTCACAGCTCTCCTGAGTTGGCATAGAAAATGATGCCCAGACCTTGGTGGTTCCCGCTGGGCAACATTAATTCCCAGAACGTTTTGAAGTATGCTCTTCCGCCCTCCCTGTTGCTTTCCGTTCTCCAATTACCTTGGTATAATTTGTGATGATCTTAATTTTAAAATAAAAAGTCAGAGTCCCTAGACTGGTTTGGATGAGTGATGACTTTTGTTAGATGAGTCTGGTAACTGTGTGGTGCTTTCTCCCTAGGAATGCTGCCTCTGCAACCTGAGAGGGGGTGCTCTGAAGCAAACTAAGAACAATAAGTAAGTAATACATGAATTGTGGTAAGTTTCACCATTCCTTTTTCCTTTCTAGAACCTCTACATGCCGATTCACTGTACCTCTCACTGTGCAAAGGTTTCACTGTCCAGGTCTGAGGTTGGTGCTCTGTGGGGCTAGGATATTCTGTAGCTCGCTTCTGCTTTCTGTATTCGATACCATGAAGAAAAATTCTTTTACTAGTAGATGTTTTGACATGAATGAGACTTATATCATCCAGATGCCATTAGAATCCTAGTGTTCAGTATGGTGAACCTTATTTATCTTATAAAAACAGAGTATACCTGAAAATGGTGAAATGGTTATCTCCTGATAAATTATACTCATGACATTAACAAAGCCTTTTACTTTTAATACCAGTACATTAACAAGAATAGATACAGACTAAATTAGAAAACAAAAAATACATTGATACATTTAAAGAGGCAGTTGGAGGATATGAAGTCTTGAAAGAGCGCCACAGTGAATTAAGAAGGTAATCTGCTTTTACAGCGATTGTGCATGAATTTTATTTTTATTTTTATGACCATGTTTCCCTGTAGAAAGTGGGGCCAAAGCATATTATAGAGACATATAGAAGCGGTTTAGGTAGAAGATGCAAGGTGGCACTTGAGGGCTAGATGTAGCTTTAAGATAGTTTGCTTGATTCATGCACCGCTTTGAACATTCATCGGATGTTTAAAAAAATGGAGATATTTTTGCATAAAAGTTGTGCTTTTTATTTTAACTTGAGAAATGTGTGCATCTCTGCGAGGGAGTGACATGTTGGGATGAGAACGTAGCCTCAGTGGAGCAGGTCCCAAGGTCACCATGATTTCCTCGTTTGTGTGTACTTGGTTACATCCTCCCTGGCCCCACAGGCGCTGGCGATGGGACTCCTGGGGTAATGTCATAATGGAGTTAATATTATCAGGTCATGTGCACATGCTTCTAATTGCTTAGAAGGAAGAGTTAAGGCACTTACTCCTATATTAATAAAGTTTAGTCTAAGTGAATATGACTTGGCTTATTTTTAGATCTTCTTAATCTAGCTGATAAGATTGGCACTGTATCGAAAACGTCTTCACTGCGTCTTGAATGCTATGCAGGCTCTTCAGACTGTGAAACAGTTTAGCTGGGTCCTGTAAAGACGGATGTGATAGGAAGTTATTTTCCTACTATTGGGCTAAAATGAAAAAAAAAGTGCTTCCTCTAGCATGCTTGTTTAGACAGGGAAGAATAGCCTAGTGAGGTTAACAGTTGTCCCCTCTTCATGTGGTCTTAAAAGGTAATAGGAAGTCCGATGTTGTTTAAATGAAATAAATATGCTTTGGCTTAAAGTAGATTGACAGATTTGATAATTTTTTCCTAGGACTCCTTCAGACCTTATGAGTTTTGTATTTGTTTGGAGGTAGAACATTTATGAGACGATTTTTTGAACTAATACAGAATGTGAAATGTGCTAGATTATACGTAAGAGACTAGAGAACAAGCCAAATTTAATTCTCCTTGTATCTGTGTGCCTTTGATTATAGGAGGATTGCAGTGAGAGATAATTAAAGACTTAGTATTTGCTCTGTTTGAACTAGTTTGCTGTATGACATATGTATGTTGTGTCGAAAGCTGATCTACAGTACACAGTTTTGAGCCGTCCTTTGCTGCTTATTGATTACAGTGAGCCCACATGTATTTTACCATCAGTGAAACAGGAACCTGTATTTCAGTGTTTTGCAAATCGAATGAAGAAAGATGTGTGTGTGTTAACAGGACTGCAACCCTGATCTTACCTAGATTTTTTTGTGTCATAGCGTTGGGCACATGTGTTACTGAATCTTTCCAGGTGTCATTCAGGTTTAAAATTCAAAATCTGTTGTATAGATTTAGGCTTTTGGCCTTTTCATGTGCGTGTCTCATCTGAGAGATTGGCTTCTGCAGGTTGAAGTATGAAGGTGTGTACGTTTAAAGAGCCTTTGTTTATGTCTGCTGTCTCCCTTCCTGTAGGTGGGCCCATGTCATGTGCGCTGTTGCAGTCCCAGAAGTTCGGTTCACTAATGTCCCCGAAAGAACACAAATAGATGTAGGCAGAATACCTTTACAGAGGTTGAAATTGGTGAGTGGCAAAACTTCTTTTTCATCTCGTACATTAGTGTTAATTTCAGATTCTGAGTTTGTTTTTAATGCACACATTCCCTGGGTAACTTTTCTCATAGCTTTATTTTATTCTACTCTTATTTTCTTTTAGCCTAAATTTATTTGTCCTTACAGGTTCTTTTTCTCGTATATTGTAAGCCTGCATAACCATTCTCAAGTTCTGTTTGAAATGAGGGAAAGGATTAAGCCGTTCCTTGGATTGATGTGAACATGTACACTATGGGGTATCTAGTTAGACATATAATAACAGACTGAGTTGTCCAGCCATGTTTAAATTGTTCTGTGTTTCTTTCTGTTTCTTTTTGGTTAGTTTTGACTTAGCAGAATATATCTAACCTAGTTTCATCATCTCTTTAGCTAGAAGAATCTTACAGAGAAATGCGAAAGCTTTTGTTATTACTACGGGATTTTCTCATTCATGATTAGGTGAAAGTCAGTATGCCAAACTCTCAGGCCTATCTCTTCTGACCTATTCAGAAACTTTCATAAAAAATCTCCCCAGTGGTTTCTCTTGTCAAGAGCATTACTTTATTGAAAATAGGAGCCTTTGATGTCCTTACCCCTGAGATAACTTTGTAGTTCTGTTCACTGGGGAGCAAACAGATCATTAGTTTGGGCCCTGTGTTGTATATTTAATGAGAATTTTCCATGAAGTTGCACTGCATGGCCTTAACGTGCAGCGTGTCTTACAGGTAGACTGAATACTCTAGAATTGCTTCCGTCTCTCTTATTTTTAGCGTAAGTTCACGTAGAACATTACATGCACTAATACGGAAACTCTCTCTTCCTGACTTACTTTCTTATGATACTCTTCCCCCAAGGTGAGCCCTTTTCTTAGGAATTTAATCTACTTTTTTCCCCCCTTCTCACAGAAGGATAAGTGAGCCCTATTCTTTCCCATCATAGTTTTATCAAGAATTTTACTTTGAGAGAAAACTTATGTGACATTTTCATAGAACTGGCAGTAGCTATTGTCTAATACAAATGGTGGGTCAGGATATGATGGTTTAAGTTTTATAAACTAAACTGGAAGTGAATGGTCCGCTTCCATGGCCCTTTAAAAAACACCCAAACAGACATTGATAAGCATTAGGACCTTAACAAAGGATACTTGAAAAATGAATGAATTATCATACTAAAGAATTTATTGACAAGTCTAAAAAGTAACTATAGCATATCTGACTGAAGAGAAAAACTGAATATAAAATGAGATCCAAATCTAACTTGAGACAATTACTAAAGAAATTTGAAGGATAGAAGAACCCAGTAAGGTTTTTATGCAACAATAGAGAGCCAACTGGTACACTACATACACCTCTCCTTTAATTGTGGTTACCAAAATCCACAGATCAGTGACTTCTTTCCAATGACCAGAGAAAACATTGTGCTGTGATTCCTGGAGAATGATTAATTTCTTTCAAGTAAACCTCAAAAGTCCTGAATAAAATATCAACGAAGTGGTTGAGGGAAAAAAAAAGAATTCAGTGTTTTGCACAACAAGTACTATTTTTTTCTGATTATAAAATGACATTTGTACACATTCAAATGCTACATTTTAATGTCACCTTTGCCTCTCTACTGGTGGCGTGCCTGTCAGAGTGAGTGGCCACGCTCCTGAGGTGCCCTCTGAGGGCTTGTGATTTAATATTACCCACGCAAGTCCTGAGATGGCTTTGCGAGAGCAGTAAGAAAGGATCGCCTGGTTACTTCAGTTGCATTCAGAGGTTAGGTCTAGACAGCTGATACTTGGATCTGAAAGTGGTGAAGCTTACAGTTTCCTTGCAGTGTTGTACTTCATCTTGATTATGCAGATCACGTATTTTTTGTGGAGACTTTCCATCGTTAAATGAAGAATACATCCTCACTAAATTTAAGGTCGTCTAAAACTATCCAAATGACAGTGCAAAACAGTGCTCACAGACATTTGCAGGTGTCTTTGATATATACAATACAGTGTTCAGATGAAAATACCAAGCTGCAGAGAGATATTGTTCTGTGGTTTATGTAATTTTTTGTTTATGGAGAGGTTATTGGATGACATTTATCAAAACGCTTATGATGGTTATCCTCAGTGGGACACTAAAAAAGCAACCTTGTTTTTTTTTGGGGGGGGGGACAAATAATTCTACAGTGCTGTAGTAATTTGAAGGGGCCAATGGCAAGAAGCCTGCAGTACTTCTTCATCAAGAATGCTCAAGAAAAAGCCATCATCTTGGTGACAGAGTCTTTACCAGTGTTCTCATGAAGATTAGACTGAGAAAGACTGGCCTTAAATAACATTTGCAACATTATCCCTCTTTTGAGTGATGAAAGGTACTTTCCCAAGGATGCTCTTTCCTATGGTGGACCAAACATAGTTCCCTGACAGTAGCACTCTTTCGAATTTTAAATGGTAGTGTAACAAATGCATGACCATTAAGCTAGTAGAGCAATAGTTTTACACGGTTATTTCACGCAGGCCTAAATAAGTCCAGGCAAGTTACTTTCCTATGCCTATTTAATGAATATACTTAGTCTGCTAGTGTCAGTTTCAGTAATTTTTCTGGACCCTCAGGGATCCTTTTTCTGGACCCCACCTACCCATTCCCACAGGTGGGAAATATAGCAAGAACTATTTAGATGTCAGAGGCAATTTATTTTACCAATAAATACTTACATTGACAAGTGGGATGTACATTTTCAAATAACATGGCATTCCTATCTTCAAGTGTCTTTTAATCTAATTCAGGATGTCTTAACCCTGGCATTACCGGCATGGCTTTTTTGACAGTTTCCAATCAGATTTTATTGGTATATTTTAGGTATATATAATGATCACATTTATCATAGAGAATTTTTACTTGTGCAGAATATAACTCGATTTTGTTCATTCCCCTCCCCTCCTCTCAGCCCCTCCTCTCACCCCCTCCTCCTTCATTTACAAAAGCTTTGTCTCCATTTTTCTTTTTTTTTTACTTTTCCTTTCTTTTCCCCTTCTCTCACCTTTGTTCCTCCTCCCATTTGAGCATTTTCTTCCTATTTCATAATACCTGTGCATTTTGTCCTTATTTACACTTTTAATTTCTCACACCAGAGAAACAATGCAGTATTACACGTGTGTGTCCTGTTTATTTCACTTAAGGTTATGATCTCAAGGTGCATTCACTTAGCTAGAAATGTCTCAGGCTTATCCTTCTTTATGGCAGAGTAGTACTCTGTTGTGTAAAAAAAATCGTATCTTCTTTATCTGTTCAATGGTTGATGAGCATTTAGGCTGTTTCCAAGATTTGGCATTTACAGACTGTGCTGCTATAACCATGGGTGTGTATATATCACTGTGGTATGATGCTTTTAATTCTTTCGGGAAGATACCCAGAAGGGGAATAATTGGGTCAAATGAAGCCTCTAGTCCTAGTTTTTTGAGGAATCTCCATGCTGATTTCCCAGTGGTTACACCAGTCTACACTCCCACCAATGGTGTAGAATTACCAGTGTTTTAGATGACGTAATTCTTGTGAGGGCTGGTACGTGCATCACAGGACTTCAGCATTCCTGAACATACACACTGCTGTACATCCTGTGGGATGCAAAGTGCGTCTGACTGGAAAAGTCACCGGTCTGCAGGGAAGACATACACATAAACTGTCAGTTTTGTTTATTTGCATCATCTTTAGATACACAATAGCTTAGTTGATAGACTCAGGTTGGAGACAACAGAAATTCTTAAATGTTTTCATAAAACAACCCTAGATAACTTTTTGACAAATTATTTAAGTCAGTAAAGTAATATTTGGCAACATGTGCATATTAGCTCCTGTATAATTATAAATTATATGATCTGATTTAGTATTGTAGCATTACCTGTTCCGATAAAAATCAAACACTGAATTGGATATTAATGAAGTTTCAACAGATTAAAATTCTGTGATGTGCATATGCGCATATAGTTGTTATTATTCCACATTATTCCATAAATAAAAGGCAAAAGAATTTATGGAATAAAGAAAAGGCAAAAGAATCACTGATTTTTTTCTACGTCTGATTTAAAGCAGTTATGATAGGAGTGGTTTGACCCAGTGATAACAAATGGTTTGGGCCTTTTATCACAGTTAACAAATGGTTTGGGCCTTTTTTCACAGTTTCTCCTTTAAATGTAATTGAAGTGAATTCACACAGATCTCTGTGTGCAGCTCTATAGCGAGGCACTGGGGTATGTGATTACATTGCAGAGGCTGGCAGTACTTCACACACCTCTGAAACACCCCTGCTGCACCTGCACCATCGGCTGAAAGTTCTGATTTGGGAACATTTGGTCAGTTGGGGGATTGAAGACTGAAGTGGGCAGACAGGTTCATCCCCTGAAGCAGTAGCCAGGGCCACTCAACTCTCTCTGCAGTGCCCACTAGGTGGTGCTACCGCATCAGTTTTTTAACGTGTAGTGTAAACTACCATCTCCTTTTTTCTAGTGACTCATCAAAGCCTCGCCTATATATGCAGTGGGGTGTGTGTGTGGTGTGGGTGTATTTCACACTGGGTTGCAGTAGGGCATAGAAGATATTTCTTGTGATGCCTTCAAGGTGTTGGGTTCCAAATAAGAATATTTTAGTTCAGTTGTTCATTTAGCCACATAAGAAGCTCTACTTTCCCTTGGGACAAGTTAGCGTTTTTCAGTATAAATAATATGCAGCATTAGTAAGAACTGGTGACTGCATAGACCTAAAGAAGGGCTGATGGGCAGACATGAGCTTAAAGTATCTTCTGAGCTACTAAAGCTATTCTAAAACGTTATTATTAGCAGTCTTTCTAAAATATGGAATACTGGGATTTATGTAGAAGTATTTGCAATGCTATTGTTAGCCTTTTATTTGTTCAGAGGCTGAAACCGTCGCTTTTGAAAAGCCCCTCTTAAAGTTATTTGTGCAGAGAGAATAATATGAGAATTCAGTTTATTTACTTGTTGAGCAGATTCCCCTCTTAGGT